ACGCTACCATGATAAAAAAAAATTAAGCGAAACAAAAAACAACTGGGGATGAAATTAAAACCTAAATTTCTGCCTTGCATATTAGGCAATCTATAAATCGTATATGCTACAACATATGGAAGCATACAGTGTGTTATACAATATACTACTTTTAATGGGCTGATGGTGCCCGTTGTCATATGATAGAAATCAATGTTGATTGAATAAAAAAAGAAGAAGTACAATTCAAATATTTTCGGAAGAGATTAATTATGCATGACGCCTGTGTCACACCAAACAAAACTAGGTATTTTGTTCCGAGTGATTTAGTTTACTAGTGTTATTACTTCCAATAGGTGGGGTGGAGGAGATAAAATAGATAATAGATATTTTTAGATAAAAAAGAAACTCTGAATTGTTATTATTCCCTTGGGCTCCAAGTGCAACATACGGCTTCATTTCAACAAAACATTTCCACAATTTCTACTATTCTCTGCCTGCCTATTCAGCCTCCCTAACGATTGACCTTAATCTCTCATCTCCTCTTCGCCACACGATCTCCTGAATGTCATCCTAGCACCGACGACCCACTACTCGTCACTCCCCAATGGGATTCCACTCGAGCGACAGCCTGCATGACGCGCGATGACATTTGACAGCCTCTTCAACGTATCCCCAATCAATCCATCTCCTTTTCCGCCTACATATTTGTTAAGCAATCGGGTCATAGTTGGTTTGCAATTAGTAGTGTTCTCTGAGTTGGTTGGTTCGATTGAGGAGCTTTCATCGTCCCCCTCCTGGACAACATCCCGTTTCAGCGCAAGTGTTAGCATAAAATGAGCAGATTTAAATTCTCCATGAATGGTAGAATTGCGTTTCCCGGTAACCATCTTTACATCTGTATTGATCACTTTTTATTGACTCGGACTGTAAACCTTCTCGTCACATGATTTACTTTTTATCAGTTGGTAAATTTGGTCTATATTAGCATATTTGTAGGTCGCATATTCGCCTGAGTACCAGGTATCTAGGAATTCTCTGGCGCATTTAGGCTTTCCCCTGTTTAAAATCTCGACATTATCCCAATCAAACCGATGTTCATAATTATCTACATGGATTGATACGCAAGAATACATATATCACTTCTTTTCACAGCTAATTTGTGTTCCTAGATTCTGATTCGAAGCGGACGCCCACTTTGACTGAAGTAATCTCTGGATATTAATGAAACAGTACAGGTATATATATATATATATATATATATATATATACATAACTAATTTACACAGCATAGTATTAACTAGTGTTGACTGACTCGTTTTAACGTAGAACTGCTTTACACAGATGAGCAGCAGTTCGAGTCGCCACACAACACTTAGTACAAAAACATAAGATTATGGCTCGGAGTACTGGCGTTGTGTGTCTGTAGTGATGAAGATTCCGGAACTAGGACAACGGAAACAGCTGTCGAATACTGCAGTGGTGGTTACCGATCGTTCTCTAAATAGTGTCAGCTCATGATGAAATCTTTAACTAGTTAATCAAAATCCCCACAAATTAATACTTGAAAATATAATCTACGTTTTCATTCATTTCTATACATTACATGAGAAAGAAAACTTCTTTAATTAACAAGTTATAAGAACATATAGGTCAGTAAAACAATCTCCTTTCACAATCTCTCTTCTGAAAGCATTACATTTTAGCATGGTTAGCATATACCACTAATATGAGAATAATAATAATGACAGGTGTATTCCAAATAGTTGGTAACCACTCGTCTTAAACAGTACCGCTTTTTCTAGACAAAGCAAAGTGAGAGGTAACCAGTGAAGTTGTCTTCCGGTTTCAGCAACACTGAAGTTGTTTCAACAAAGTAAAATTTTTGATCTCACACCCAACCTCTCCATTTTATCCCGGGCTTACTTTTTTTAACAGTAAACTGCGTAGGGTTTTAGGACTGTGTTGTCCCAGCTGTCGAAAGCGAACCGTCATTATAAATTTTATTTCAAAATTTAATTCTGTCATATTTTAAAAACACTGTTGACTCAAGACTTCACTAAGGAAAAGAAAGTCAACTTAAACGGAACCGACACCCCCCATCGGCGTTATTTATTATCCCCAGGAAGAAAACACACCAAACAGAAATCCATATCCAAGTAGATGGATAAAAAAGGAATTAAAGAAACAACCTCTATCGATGCCAACCTACATATTTTGAGGCTATGTGTTCAGCAGACTCTAACTCTAACATCATGCATACAAGAAGACTCAGACAAAATTCATCAGATCGGTTATCAATAAACTTTAAGCCACCCCCAGTCATCTTATTACCGATAGGATACTGAAGAAAAGGCTTTTATAAAGCACGAAAGTGTATCAAACTTAAGGATGTCATGATTGCAATCCTTCCAGTAGTTACGCTTTAATTTCTCGGGTAATTTAATATGTTATTATTATTTGTAATTATATATATTATTTGTAATAGTGATTGTAATTTAAAAATATAATATTAAGTGCATTTAATGGTTGCCACCCAGCGATAAAATTCACACTCAAAATGGAGAACGAGTCTAGTATTCATTTCCTCGATGTGAACTTATTAAGGAGGATCGATGGAACTCTGAACAGATCGATTTATCGAAAGCTGACATGGAATGGTCAACTGACAAATTTCTCCAGCTGGGTAACCATTGGTCGAAAACGAAACCTGATCCGGTCGCATGTCAGTCGCATTCCGAGAATATGTGGCCCTGATACTGTGGAGGATGAGGAAAATCCTAATAGACAGTGAATCTCCACCACTCTTTATAGACAAGAATAGACATCCTACGAAACGTGACTTGTCATCCGTACCCAAGAGAATTCTGTACATGAGCTTCGAATTCAAAGGTGATTTAGCTTCCGATATTATGAAAAGAATGATTTCACAGTGCCTGAAAAGAACATTCCCTGATGCATCTTCGAGAATAACCTGTAATAGTCGACCTAACCTCAGGAAGAAGATCTCGCTGTTGACCAACTCTATGTGTGTTTTGTCAATTCACCTGATCGTGTAGAGCTAGGTATATCGGTCGTTTGACTCGAGTTTTGTCCCAGAGGGTGCAAGAACACTATCCTGCATGACTCGAAGAGGTGGAAATGGAGCAATCACTGAACATCTGGTCGATAGAGATCACGCTATCTCTACAACTTCCACCTTTAAAGTCATCTACAAGGCAAAAGTAATTTACCCAAATTATTACGTACCCGACTTATTTGTATTACTGAAGCTTTGGTCATCGAAACAGACAAGCCAGATCACTGCATACAGAAAAAGGTTTCTCCAATTCCTCCAACTTTCATGATCTTAATCCCTCTAAGCTAGAGTATGGTAATTCCTAATCATATTTTGGCTCTACCAATTTTTTTCATTTTGTCTATTCTATTTGTATACTCTTCGTTTATTACGTCTTACCTTAAACCCCTCCAAATGCTGAACAGTCAATTTCACCTTTAGGCATAAATCTGACCTAAACAAATTGGTTAGCACTCACGAAGTGTGCAACATAGATGGCACTGAAATAGAAACAAAGTCAGAAATTAAATACCTAGGCGTCATTCTATCTGCTGATCTTTACTGGTCGTCTAATATCTTGATGATTTCTAAGAAAATATTCCGTCTCATCTGCAACATCAAGAAGTTAAGACATTCTTAAATAACCCAATCCTTACTCCTACAATTCGTTAACTCACACATCCTGCCTATATTTTTCCAGGGCTACTGAAGAAAGACTGTACCTTATTACGCAGGATGTTAAAGGTTGTCAGCAGGGTTAGCTACGTGCCACTTAACCAGCTTGTTAATATTCTGGTTGACAGGCACATGGACTCATGTGAAAAATGGGCTAAATCCATTTTATCTAACTCACACCACCCTCTTCATTCACAACTCTCTCCTTGTATCTCATCAGGCAAAACTAGAAGCCTATATAGGAAATTATATGCTCGCACTAGCAAGTACAAAAACTCAACCATACCCTAGTTTGCTCGTGTTCTGTGCGATAAAGAAAGCATTAGGTGTGATACCTATAACTTATTAAATAGTCAGTAGAACAACAGGATCTCGTCTTTCGAACTGATATCATTTATAGATACAACGTTTTCTTTCTTTCTTTTCCTCTCTTTCTCTCTTTTTTCTGTTAAATTCTGCTTTGTTTCTTTCTTCTTTGCTAACTCTATTAAAACATTCTTCTTCGTTCTCCCACACTCTGTATATCTCGACCTTTTTGTTACCGCTTACTCCAGTAAATATGCTAGCGTCTACTTTTCTAACACCTTCAAACACTCTGTTCAATTTTGGCTTTGCTACCGACATGCCAATATGTTGTTGTCATAATGAACTGAGACTACCCATAATCTATGTAGAATTTTATTTATTGTTAACGTACTAACTGAATGCAATACTGTAGTGAAATGCTGAGAATTTCATTCTGTACCACAAGTACTGTTTTGGAATAAAGCAAATTATTATTTTTATTATTATTACTATTCTCACTTTGAACTGTCCCCGGTATTATTTCACTTGTCCCACTTGTCATTCTAAATCAATTCTGTTTTGCAGCATTAAATTCTATGTTATCTATTTTACACAGTATTACGTAACGTTTTCACTTTGATTCGATTTGTCTACTAATCCTATAGTTGCACACCCCTTCCAAGTTCTATCCATCCTATGAATTATTCTATAAATGACATTAATTGTTTTGCTATTTGACATAACCTGTCTATATACGATTTTACAGCTTGATAATAAATTCGTTGGTGAAAAGAGTCTCTTCGCTGAATCACCATTTGTTTTGATTTTCTAAATTTAATACATAACCAAATAAACCACCGTCAACAATATCCGACAAACATTTAGAATGATTACTTTTGCAGGCTAAGAATCCACATCCACGTGAATCTTTTCGATGCATGAGAGATTTCCGCACACGTCAATTTGTAGTGTCCTTATTTTCGACAAGGCTGTATTTTATGGTTCACTCAGTCCTGGAAACAGTGATAGGAAGTGAAGTTTACTACAAGAGGAATATTAAGTAAAAAAAGATGGGCTGACAGCCATCGGTAATTAAAATATTCTTCTGAACTCTCACTCCCTGGATTTTGATGTTCTTCGATTTCTATTCATGGAAGAAAGTGCAGCATTTGTCCAAGTTCAAATGACTGCCATGACTGGTAATATTGTTGTGGAACATTTTTAAAAACTTTTCTTCTGTTTCGATTCTTTTATCCGACTTTTTCGATGACTGCATGAGTATTCATTCCATGTGGTGAATTCCATTGCATATTTGACCAGCAAAGATGTGTATAAATAAGTAAATATTAATTTAATTGGTGCATGGTGGGTGACTAGGAGTTGAATCCAGCCAGGATGCGCATTTCGTCCTATTTGGCACTCGTCGTCACCTGGATGTACCTGCATTCCCCAGTGAGTGATGATGATGTTCCCTAACGAGGCTCGACCCCAGTGTCCATAGTTTCAAACACCAGCCAAAGCGTTATCTACTAGACTATTTAGGCCACGAGAGCCACCTCTTGTCCAACGGCTCGGATTCCACCGCTAGTCATTATCCATCAATTAAATTCTAATTACATGCCCAGACATCGTCGAAGCATCTGCACAAGAAGCCAACAGACATGTCAACCTGAAACCGAAGAGCACTTCGGTCCAATCAATCGACGGGAAAATCTAAAACTCAATTTTAAAAAATAATATGTTGGAAAATGTTGCCTAAGTTGTTCAACTTTAAAAAAGTGAAAACAACAACAACAACAAAAAGACAAACTGAGAGTAATTTATTCACCAAACTTACTCAATTGAGTCGTTGTTAACAGCGATGTGCATAGGAAATAATTCAGCCTCACCAACCAGTGGATTACAACCAGCTTTTAACAATTCTTCTACACATTCCAAAGAATTAATACGACAGGCAATGTGCAACGGTGATTCACCATATATGTTCAATGCATTGACATTTAAACATTTGAGGTTTTGCAGGAGGAGCTGGAATATGAGTATTTTTATTTTTAAAGATAAAGTCATGTACATTTGTTTTAGTAAAATAAATAAATATTTATAAATTAAGATATTTAATAGTGAAAACCTCATCACATCAACTAGGCAAGATGAATTTATCAGCACTTACTTTCACAGGTCAAAGTTAAAACAGGATAACCGAAGTGTTTATTTCAGTGGGCAGTAATTGGCTAATCATGTAGCAGAATGTTGATTCAACAAAATTAGGGACATCGAAAAAAAGATTGTGTATTCAGTAAGAAGGCGCACTTGCTTAAGAGGTTAAAAATAATTACATTTAGTTGTTCTAAGGGTTTGAAACCACCTGAGTCTTCGGTTACAAATCAAGCACATATATACGAAAATGCATCACAAAGGTAAGTTGGTACATATTAGCTGAAACAGCTGCATGGAAATTGAAAATAGAATACTACCTGAAATAACTAGTGAACTAAGACTGACCGACTGACTGACATCAACGTAGAACTGCTCTCCACCGATGTGCAGCAGTCTGAGTCACCACACTTTACTCAGCACACAAAGCAAGAGAAGAAAGTGAAAGTGAAACGCAAAATACAGACAGTAAACAGAGATATGTGGCAAAAAGAATAGTATTATCGAAGAACTATATAGTTTTATTGGATATTATAAGTCACAAGGAGTGGATGCATCTACACCAGACATCACCGAGAACGATCACTTTGAGCCATATCACCAATTGTCTCCAGTCGCCATTGGTATTTACCGTCCTGAGGACCCCAACCAGACACCTGTCTACACCTTCCTACGTAGCTGGATTAAACTAACTGTTGTGGATTTCTTGATTGACTGATGAAGCCATGTTTTAGTTTGACCACCACTGGCTAGCCCTTTTCCAGCCTTCCCCTATGTCAGATAACATTGGCCACTGTCAAGTGAACTAAGATCGGTCAGTCACTAAAAGCATACAGATATGCATATGATGGAGATGTGTAGCTCAGGTGGATGATTTTGATGTGGTTGTGTCCTCTGAACTGGATGGTTATAAAAACCACATATACACTGAGGGTGAATTAAAATTAAAATAATAACAGTTATGAGTGACGAATACACTGAAGAGACAGCGCAGTGCGACAACCTACACGTGATAGCCTTGAGCAGCAATCTTCGTATGTTTGGCATGCGATTCGCCCCTGGAAAATGTAAGATGCTGCTACAGGACTGGACTATGTCAACTCCTAGCTTAGTGATATGGAGTGAAGTGATAGAACATGTTGACCACTTCACCTATTTGGGAAGTTGTATTAGCACCAACGGACTGATTGGCGACGAAATCTCAGCAAGGACCCAAAAAGCTCGAGCTGCTTTCGCTGACTTACACCACCTCTGGCGTAGGCGTGACATTCGGCTATCAACCAAGGGACGTGTGTACTGCTCATCAGTTCGCTCCGTCCTTCTCTATGGCTCTGAAACATGGCCAATACGAGTGGAAGACATGAAAAGGTTGACTGCTTTCGATCATAGATGCCTGCGATCTCTTTCTCACGTTAGGTGGTATAATAAGGTAAGTAATGTTGACGTTAGGCGTAGTGTTGGGCAAAGAGGGAAAATCAATCGACGAGGCTATAAAGTTACACAGATTGAGATGGCTAGGTCACGTGGTGCGCATGCCTAACCATCGCCTCCCCCGACGGGCATTGCTAGCTGATATAGGTGCAGGTTGGAAAAGGGTAAGTGGTGGCCAAACAAAAACATGGCCTCATCAATCCATGAAATCCTTGACAGTTAAACTGAGTAAGGTAGGGAGATGCAGACTCCCGGGTTGGGGTCCTCGGGACTCTAGGAATCAATGGCTGGAGACAATAGGTGACATGGCTCAAAATCGTTGTCAATGGCCAGCGCAGATGTATTCAATCTCTGTAATCTTTCATATTCCTTTCTACCATTACCCATTCTGTTTCACTCTTATACTTGTCAGACTGTATTGATTCCCTTCACTCATCTTCTTGTCTACTTCTGTGTGCTATGTGGAACGTGGCAACTCGAACTGGTGCACTTCGGTGCCAAGTTCTATGTTGAATCCAGCCAGCCAGATAGCCTGTTCATGAATCGAATTCTACTCAAACAGGGTCCGAAAATTGGAAGAAAGTTAACCCGTTCTTCCTTCCTTCCTTTCTCTATCTCTCTCTCCATGAATACAAGGCTTACTCATATTTATAAAATTTAGAGATATTAAATAGGCTTCATAATAATTTCCATGATACTTCATAGATATTCTCCTAAAAGGTGGTTACAAACTTCTAGGTTTTAGATATTAAGGAGTTTCAAACACAAAACAGTCAGTTCTTCAAGTCCATAGGAAAGAAAAGATGCGAATACTCACGCCTTTCATGGTTGATGTCTACCCTAGGTAAACTGAAGAGGAGATAAATGAGTGAGACATGACAGTAGGCAGGCTTAACTTAATTCGAATACGCGAATAGAACTTGTGCACTGTGAGTATAATTCCATTATCGGTAAAATTTATTTTAAGCCTCACAGTGTTACACAATAATATTTACTGATGACATTTCGAGCAAAATTTGTTACTGCTCATAATCATATGATGACTATAAATGACAGCATTGGTATGTACAAGTAATTTACTATTTTTTTATCTTGAAGTCATTTGCAAGCAAATACTAATATCCAGCAGTTCAGCAACAACTGGACTGAAAAGATGGCGGAACTGACACCTTTAAGTCAACGAGTCACTGGTTTGACTCTTTTCTACTAACGGAGGCTTCAGTCGCCCGATAGTAACATGGATATCAGGTACTCTTAGTACGCCATTGCACAATGTTGTATTGGATTTGCATAAGTTACAAAACAAATTAAGTTGCTGCATTCATACATCGACATTTAAATGACACTAACAGTGAAAAGAAATAATTATATATCAATAGAACAAATAAAGCCTATATGGTCATCGTGAAAGATAGTCAACTTTGAGGTAATAAGCACTTCAAACACTTCAGTTTGGGTGACCAAGGAGCATCAAAGACTTTTCTTTCCCCAGCTGCTTCCCCCAGTGAGGATCCAGCTGCATTCCCTTATGGTTAAATTTTAAGACTAGCAGTATTTAAAAATCAAACACTCCACTATGTCTTTGTCCTCTAGTGATGATAACAGTTAAGTATCATGAAGAAATGGATACGGCAAACCCTCAAATAGAACAAGGAGCTGTGTACTATAGTTGCAGTAAGTGTTCGGAGTACGAAGACGTCTTTACCAAGTGACTAATATTATCTACCTACATAATCTATACAAGTGAATACTTAGATAATCCCTTAGAAGTAACTATTTCAACTTTGGACTTACACATAAAATTCTCTTGGAAGCGTGTTCAGCAGCCAAATGGACCACAGTATTCCCATCTCCATCGCTTTCAAATGCAGTAATATTGTCCAAAGTTACCAAAAAGCGGACAGTTTCTTCATCTTTTTCCTTTATAGCAATTCTTAATGGAGTTAGACCGGAGATAGGATCATATTCATTCAAAAGCCTAAAGTGTTGGACTCAATTTGTTCAATGAATGAATAAGCTTACCTTCTAACAGGTTCACCAAGAAAGAGCTCGCGCCAGGAAATTGCTGCAGCCACGTGAGCAGCTCCCCAACCATAGTTGTTTCGAGAGTAAGTAGTTATTTTCTCTAAACAAGTACGATCGATAGTTAAACCCACGCTTATGCAGGCCAAATGCAGAGGATCAAGGACCTCCATGAATCGTGAAAACATAGCAACACCTGCCTCCTCTTCACCTTGGAATCGGAATAAGCTATATTTTGAAAATCAATTACAAATTTAACAACGACAGATACCTGTAAGCATGTATATTTTCACCACTACCTGAGCTGCCAACCAGTCCGGGCAAATACACCATATCAAAATGGTTTGCCACTTTGTAAAAGTAATAAATTGATTTTTCTTGTAGAAGTCGTTCACAGCTATATTTTGGAGGTTACACACAACGTGACACAAACTCACTCTTGATATTCGGATTCATATTGACTTATGGTGTACGATATTATTTTATTAGGTGATATAGATGAAACTGCAGTTTTAACAAAATTACTGACATATTTTCCAAAAGAAGTCATGATCTCTGGGCCCCCATACGTGTTTTGCTTTCCTATCACTACATCAGACTACAACTTTTCTCCACATCTAATGCTAACAAAGAAAAACAAGAATAATGATTTGAGACTTACACACAAAAATACTGGTTACCAGTCTCTAAAACATACTTGGGCAGTAGACATGGCTATAGATTAACATTTAGATACTGTTATTTATATTGTTGTATCCGACGCATATTCCATTTACACGTAACACCGGCAGTGAAATTTCGTAAAGGTTGCTACCATTTATATATCGCCACCTAGGGTAATTTGAACGTCCGATATCGTGAAATGCAGTTTGGTAGCCAACTAAGAGAAGATAAGTACTATATTAGACGCTGTTGTCCGTGGCAAGTGGTGCTATCTCACAATCTCTTCTCAATATCGCGAAGGCCATTTATAAATATAACTGAATATAAGAAATCTAGGGACGCCAGCTGGCAGAGAGTGATGGTCAAACACCTGATATACAATATTAATTTCCAAGTATTTTCATCTCTGTCTATCCTAATACTACTTATTACGACACTTATACTTAACATTTTTATGACGCCCCCTTTAGCACTGTCGCATGGCTTATTTATGATAAGCTTTCGTTCATAATAGGTAAAACGATGGACTTTGAAGGTGTAAAATTATTTGGGCAACCCATTTGCAATGAACAGTTTTCGAGACGCTAAAATATAACAAAATAAATTGAAAAATCCTTGTGCTGAAAAAATAATACGCCTGAGTGGAAATGACAATCATAACTACTCAAAATTCATACAAAATCATTCCGACGTTTATACAACGCTATGGGAGGAAATGTCTATGATAACAATGCTTCAATGAATACATATCTACAGCAAAATTCCAACATCGGTGTGGCCACTTCCGATCGAACACAGAATTCAAGGCCACTAAAATAACAACTTTTGAAACTTTCCAAGTGTTCCATTCAATATAATGAAAGGGTAATTCCAGTTGTCGGGGAGTTTTACCAACGGTCTCTTATCATATTATTTATAAAACTCAGCAGTATTTTGCGCAAAAAAATAGGTAGATAACGGCAACATTACGGCAAATTATTCGTAAGTAAAATAAGTATACCTAGTGTAACAGAATAACAAGTCCACTATCTAAATTAAATTTCGACGACAGCGCGAGTCAAGAGTTCAAGGTCTTTCGTTGGAATGTAGGCGAATAAAACAATACTCATATGACTGATGCTTACTTTAATTCATGGATCTAAACTAAAACAATACATTAAATCTCAGGGTTAAGCATGTATAATGTCAGTTCATATATAATGTTAGTCCTAAGAGGAAAAGAAGCATAATTCCTTTGGTAGTTCGTGGTACAGACTTTAAACATTGCTCTACAGTGGAATCGTCTCTCCTAAGTGCAGATGCATTTGCAACATGTTGCTTGTATAGAATCGGTATTAAGATTGGCCCTACAGTAAAACAACCGGTACGCTTTCTTGAAGTAGTACTTAACCCAAAAGCAGGCAGGGATGCTGTACTAGGCAACTCTCAAACTCCTAAACGATCATGTATGTATATCTAAGCTGACTTACGTCCAGCAGACAGTGTTAGAAGACAGCCAGCCATTCTAGAATTGGGCAGCTGGGACTAAGGCAGCAAGAAGGGGTTTTCAAATGGTACTGGAACCTCTGTGGGTGACTCACAGAAGCACTGAACTGAGCTCACAGTTTTTTTTACTTAAATGCCCACACCCTGTTGAAAAATTGACCGACCCGGGTAGTGTGATATACCCAGGAAACGATAATAATTTATGTTTATTCCTATGTATGTAGGACACACCAGTTGTACAGGCATGGATAAGTTGCCACCACAGAGACATGGCTCACATCCGATGTCACTGATAACGAAGCTGAACTACCGGAATTCATGATATATATGGCGGACCGACTAGGCCGAGAGGATTTAGCATAGTCATCCGCCTCAAAAAGTGCTCAACCGCGTGTAGCACTGAGGCTGTCACAGACGGAAGTGAAACGCGTGAATTTTCATACCGCAGACTTAAAAGCGTAGGTTAGGGTATTGACCTCTGTCAGCCACGTCTCATAAACCGTTAATGCCCAGCTCTTGCTACGCTCGGGCCCACGCTGTTCCTTGCAGTTTTTCAGAAACGCTTAGTAATAACGGACGAAAAAACCAAAACACCGATTGGCCACTCAAGAATTCTTTATTGTTACACCAACATATAAAAATAATGTTTTTACTAGGGTCTGTGAACAAATATTACAATAATAAATCACAAGATTACTTCTGATGGTTTACTGCTGACTTCTTTCTGAACAGCGACCGATGAGACGATGACTGGTGTATTGATGCTTCCGCGAAAATTGGGGAAGTAGGTTTTGAGCAAACAACCAAGACTTGATCGTTCAATCTTCAACTCCATTGACACTCCCCGGCAAAAAAGGGATCCATCCCTTTTTTCCTTCACGACCAATACACGTTGACTTGGATGCCATTGCGAGAACCTGGGTCACACGGACAGAGCTGAAATGGAAAACAAACAGAAAAGCCAACACACCACAAGCATACCCACAGCACAATCTCACACATCGCTGACGACCTGCGCCTCCAGACAGAGACCTCCTCTTGACACCTCCTCTTGCAACACAATCGCCACTTGCTAGAATGACTCTTGCAGAATGCAACGTGACTATAGCACCAACTCATGATACTCTACGCACATCCTCTTATCTACTCACTACTAATTACCACTGCAATCGCTTGTCACTCATTCTGCCTCAGTTCTAGTAGCGGTGACGCATGCAAGCCTCAGTCGTTTACACTCTTTCTCCCCGGCGTGTCGGACCGCAGCTAACAATTATCTCCGTGTGCATTTCATTCTCAGCAATAGCCTAGCCTCCCCAGGGTATACGCCCCATCTGCTGTCTTCAACATCAGTCAATTCATTCATGGATGTAGAAGACTCGAAACAACTTCAGAAGTAATCACGACGAAAATTTTAACAAAATTACGCAATAACAACAAGATACGAAAACAACAAGTAAACACAATGAATCCCAAAAACACCAATTGATATGACACACCACACATATATACAAACTTACACCAGTACACCTACAACCCTTCTCACGTTGACGATTGTAAGTTGTGGAATGTCCGGACACAAACAAAATTAACCAACAATTACATCAATTGGAACTCACACAACTATTTAACACAAACATATGTGCAATCACTGCATCAAAAATGGTGGATTCCGGCTTGATGAACTACCCTTGAAGAACTGTAGTACTAACAGCAGTACGCCTACATTCCTTCTCAGGTTGATGATACAAGTGGAAGTCGTCCGGACACAAACAGAATTACCAACAGCTAGATGATAAATGATATCAATTCAGTATGTGCAATATGAACATATGTACAAAATCACACACCAAGCACAGTTGACTGCTCATTGATGCGCTACCCTTTGAAGAACTGTAGGACTTACACCAGTACGCCTACAACCATTCTCAGGTTGACGCTCTGGGTTGGAAAATCGTCGCAGAGTTCATTTGCAAACTTCCTTCTATCAGCTATATCCTCAAATCTGAACGGCAACACGCCCATGTCATTGTATCGTAGAATATAGATGACCAACAAACACACGACATATCTCATCAACCAAGTATAGAAACAGAGTAATTTACACCAAAGATAATAACATTCAATTAGTAACTTGAAACTAGAAATGCCTTTATTCGTGCAAGTCAATTTAACAATAACTCTCTCCTTTACACTTGGCTTATCCACATTAAACTGACCATTGATATTCGTCCTTTCAAACGAACTGATATTACCATAGTCATTGCAGAAGATACTAGAGTTAATGGGCATCTGTTTCATTGTGGATGAAAACACCAACGATGACTGAGTGACACAAGGTGATGAACTTGGCAGTGGATCAGAAGCTGTTCTTTTTCGGCTTTCAGATAGTTGTCCAACTGCAAGATTACCACAACTGCTGTCTTTCACTACTAGTTCGGGTTTAGCACTATCATCTGATGATAGGTGGGCTACATGCTGATCAATTACACTGACTGTCTCACAAGTATGCACACCTTCTGGAACTGCATCTGCGTTCAATTCTACTTCACGTTGTAGTTGTACAGAACCTTTATTTAACTTAGCAGTAGTAGGCATATCCCTCATCTCATCATGATCAACCAAAGACAAATCTGCACTATCATGGTCATTATCAAAAATATTCAATTTACCGTCAACTTCATCATTTTCAAACTCTTTAATAACAGAAGTAGACAATTTTGGTTCCTCCTCACAAATCATTAAAGGTTTTATATCTTCACTCTGACTAGTAATACCTTGTAAACTTTTGGAGTCAGAACTCCACTCTGAAGCAGTAACTCTATTCTGTGACACTCTATTCAACAATGGCTTACCAGTTGCAACTACAGACTTCTTCACCGCACCGTTATCGTCACACAATTCGGAGTCAGGCCTGGAGTTTACATTTAGCTTATCACTGAACTTGCTCACTGATTCACAGTTCACCTTTGTATGCACTTCTTGCAAACGTGTAAAACACAACCGTCTTTGTCTTGCATCTTGTAACTTATCTGTTGAGGATGTACTACGAAACCTGTTACACTCACTAGGTCTATATGCATTACTAGACATCATGGAGTCTTCTCGATATCCACCTCTCTGAGGCCTACTCGTCATCAATGATTGCATTTTGCTCTCAGACTGCTCTATTCTAGGGGTGAGATCTAACAGACTGGAAAACTTGCTCATAGATTGATTGACGCTATCTTTTACCAGTTTCAGGATATCATCAAACTTCGGCTCGATACCCTCATCCTCCATACGGGAGCTTATCTTCACCCACTTCCTTTGCAATCGAGTAGGTAGACGTCTTGCTATTACTTCTAGGATAAAACTCGAGTTGAGGTCACTCATTCGATTCATCGAAATCATTCCATTCTTGTTAATTAGCAAATTATCTAAAAACTCAGTGAGTGCCTGGGAGTCATCCTGTAATTGACCACCATTACCCTCAACAGCCTCGAATAATTTCCCTACAATCATCGAAGGTCTTCCAAACCTTTGACGTAATATGCTCATAGCCTCGTAGTAGCCCTCTTTTGGCTTCATAAACTTACAACACTGTATAGCTCTTGCAGCATCTCCAGTGCAATATCTCATCAAATACATTAACTTCAATTCATCACTTAATAGAAAACTACTCAACATGATCTCAAACTCCTTTACAAATTGTAAATAATCAGCCGGGTTTCCATCAAAACATCGTGGTTCTAATTTAGGGAGTTTGATGTTCCTATTATCCCTGAACGGCGAAACAGTAACATCAACCATATCATGCTTAACATCAGACACATCGTTACAATTAACAGACAAGTCACCATGACTTACTTTCCTGTTTGCATCCAAGACACTCTGTCCCTTCTTTGACCCAGGCATTGTTGAACTTGACCCAATTCCAAAAATGTTTCAGATATTGCTTGTTCAAAGAGGACTTGACCGGCATTTGAAACTACAGAGACCAGAAAGCTATACAAAGCCGCCAGGAACAAATCTATTGCAGAAATCCGCAAATTAAGGACAAAGTGCGCGGTATATTTGACTCAAAATGCAATGGTATCACCTAAAAGGATTTCCTCGAACAAGACATCCAATGGGGTCCAAAACCTGGATGCTGATAATGATACAACCGAAGAAGATCAAACAAAGGCAGAAAAATACCAGATTCCTTCTCCAAAACGTTTGAAGAGGCGTCTTCATCCCTCCCCAGAGCATCGCCTCTGATCACAGCTGACGGATACAAGATGTGATTGGAAGGATGACTCGTTAACTACATCCTCAAAGTAGGATCAAGACAAAGCCTTGAAAACTTCATGCTCATCAGTCTATACAGCGCACTTATAAAGACACCGGAAGTAATCATCAAGAAGACCGTTGTGGCATATCTGGATCACATAGCTTTCGCAACACATCATGGCCCTTCAGAAAATCTCTCATGTCTGCCAAACTTTCTTACGACAAGAGATATTTGGGTCGAATAAGGGGACAACGGCAGACTGTTCGATGTCGTCTTCATAGAATTCAGCAAACCTTCCGATAGATCGTTCCACAAGAGACCAACTGGTTAATTGGAAAGTCTTGGGATCAGGGGAAGCTTATCAAAATGGA